GAGGGTGACCAGGGCAGGTCTTACGGTGGTGGGGAGCTGCAGCCTGACAGACCACCAAGGGGAAGCGGGGCTGGAGAGCGCCTCCGGAGGCAGCAAAACCTGGGAGACGGAGGCTCTGGCGGATGCTGTGCGTGGTGGGGGGGTTCACTGGGTGAGCACCAAACCCTGGCCGTCGTGCTGGGGAGCATGGGGAGGGTCAACCTTTGGGAAGAGTCTTTGAGGCACTTGGTGCCTGGCTGGGAGCAGGGTGGGAGCAGCCCCCAGGGTACAGCCATCGAGTCTCATAGGCCTTTTCTATGGCTTTTTGCAGGATCTTGTGAAAAATCACCTGATGTATGCGGTGCGGGAGGAGGTGGAGGTCCTGAAAGAGCAAATCAAAGAACTGTTGGAGAAGAACTCGCAGCTGGAGCGTGAGAACAGCCTCCTGAAGACCCTGGCCAGCCCCGAGCAGCTGGAGAAGTTCCAATCCCGCCATCGAGTCTCATAGGCCTTTTCTATGGCTTTTTGCAGGATCTTGTGAAAAATCACCTGATGTATGCGGTGCGGGAGGAGGTGGAGGTCCTGAAAGAGCAAATCAAAGAACTGTTGGAGAAGAACTCGCAGCTGGAGCGTGAGAACAGCCTCCTGAAGACCCTGGCCAGCCCCGAGCAGCTGGAGAAGTTCCAATCCCGCCTCACAGAGCCCAGGGGCGGCTGCCCCGGCCCAGCACTCCGGGGGCTCTGCGGTGTAAGGTGGCTCTGTCCTTGGGGTGGGCAGAGCCACAGAACTCTTTCTACTTAATCTCCTGCAAAATCGTTTCCGCCTTCATCTCGCACGAAGGACTGACAGAGCGCGGCACCGAGCCGTGCCCCCGGCAGAGCCAGCGTCCGTCTCCTGCACCAGGATGCTCTGCTGCGAGGGAGACGTGGGCAGCTGACCCCTCCCCATCCGACCACCCCCATGTGCTGGGAGTGAACCCGTGCCCCGCCAAAACCTGGGCTCTGCTGCACCCTGGGCATCCGCAGCACCCGGCAGTGCCGGGCAGCCTGAGGCACTGGGATGGGAGCCGACGGTGGAAGGAGCGCACGCCGTCCTGTGCCTTCGCCGCACCGTGCAGGGGGTCCCTTTCTGGCAAAGCCCGACGTTGGAGGAAGACCGCTGTCAGCGAGCGATGCAGAGTTGTCCCACGGCCACCCGGGAGCTGAAACCCAAACCTGACTGAGCAGCACCGGTGGCAGTTGCGGTTGTAGTGCATGGCTGTACGCACATCAGTGTGGGGATTACAAGGAAAAAAAGCTTGTTTTATTAGTTTGGGCATCTTCTGTAGCCGTATCTGTGTATAAACGCACGTGTGAGCGGTACCCTGCTTGGGGCCAGCCGTGCCCCTCTCTACAGCGGGGGCATTTGAGGCGAGACTGGAGCGGCTGTAATGGGTCCGGCACTGCAGAGGGGACAGATTCACCCCCTCGGCATCCACCGTGACGGAGCTGTGCGGCAGCGCTGGGAGGATCCGGGCAGAGCCACGATAGGGGCTGTGGTCCAGCCCACTGGGTGCGGGGAGCCGGCCTGGCCCCCCCGTTCCTTGGCCAGCTCTCTGGGAAGTGACAGGACGTCCCTTTTGACGTCAAAAGCGGTGACACAGTTGTGTAAATCTAGATAGAAATGACAATAAACTCTACTTTTATATAAACGCCCGCCCCAAGCTGTGTCTGTGGCTGGGGGGAGGGTTGTTTGGAGGGGGGCAGTGTGGGTCACTGGGGATGGGGCTGGGTCTTGCACTGGTGAGTGCTGGGCTGGGAAAACCTGGTGGCTCCTCACCTTTGGAGGGCTCAGTCCCCAGGTTGAGCCAAGATGAGGTTTTTGGAGATGTAAACAGGCACCCCCTTCTTAAGGGGCTGGGTGTGCAGCAGGGAAAGGGGCCCTGAGCCTGCAGGTTTGGGGGGGGCAAGCAGGGAGGGGGCTCTTTGCAGGCTGCGTGTGCTCCCCAGCCCAGACCTGCTCTTCATTCAGTGTTCTTGTTCAGTTGCTCCTCACAGATGTAATTGATTTTATTTATTTTTTTGTCTTGAAATGCATTGGGAGGCTGCGTCAGCTGCATTGAACAGTGCTGGGTGGGGTCTGAGGGTGCTTTAACCCAACCCCAGGATACAGCCTTGGGTTCAACACCATGGGGTAGGTGGGAGACCTACCCAAACCCAAAAAACCCAGCTCTCGGTGAAGGCTGGTGGGCACCAGCAGCGCCAGGGGGTTTGAAGCATCCCCTGGGTGTTAACCCTGACCACGGCTGGGGGTGTCCCCATTGAAGGGGCTGGCAGTGCACAGGGGGGTGGTAGGTGGCTGTGCCCTTGTTGCCAGCAGCACTGTTTTGTGCTGTTTTGCACTGTTTTTTTGTGGTGTTTTGCGCTGTTTTAGGTCTCTGCCGTAGTAAGGGTGACGGCCCCAGCCTGGTGTGAGTCACACAGTGCTGTGGGCGGTTGGCTCCCTGGAAACGCGGTGTAAACACCAAAACACAGCTGATGGGGGCTCGGACCGTTACGGGGTGCCCGTCCCCTCCCTGTGCTGTCAGACTCGGCCACAGCCATGCACACGCGTGTGCCTTGGGTGCGAGTACCATGCGTGTGATTGCTTTCCCGGCTGGGTGCACGTGTGTGTAAGCCGTTCAGGCACCCCATACCATGTATTTATGTGTCTCTTGCACTTACAGGCACTGCAGTGAGCTGGGGGCACCCCTGCAGCGCACCCCAGTGCTGCCAGTCGCTGGGGAGGGGCTGTTGGGGTGCCCTGGCCATTGCGCTGCAGTGGGTGTCAGGGGTGCACTGGGCCCATCCTGCAGCTGGGGAAGGTTTGGGCTGAGTTCTGTGCCCCATGCGGCCCTGCTGCACCCCAGCTCCTTTAAGGGGTGCAGCGATGGCGTTTGCAGCCCTGTTTGTCGCCCTCCCTGTCCCCTTGCTCCAGCCCAGCCTTCCTCCTGCGGCTGGGCAGAGCCTTTCCTGTCCCC